GTGCATGGCTGTGCATGACCTCATATGACCTCATCCTTGGTCATATGACCTGATCACCTGACTAGGCTGAGTAAGCAAGATGTCTAGCAGGTTCCACCACAGAGGTATAAATATAAGGCCTACTCTGCCTGGGACTGTCTCTTCAGACTTGGTCTCTTAGGATCATCCACAGGTACCTATACTGTAGATAGGTCTTAGTCATCAGGTCTACTCCACTTCCTTGTTGCCTGCTTAGACTCTTGGCACTCTTAGGTGAGCAGACTTAGTCAGCCTGTGTTGCCCTAACAGGAGGTGATGGGTGATGACAGATCAAGCAAGGAAATTCTAACTGGGACCACTGTCAGATGAGTCATTACCAGTGACAATTGACCCTGGTTGACTGTTTTTAGCTGCCATCAGTGAAGCTGTGGAGCAACAGCAAAATGTGCCTATGTTGGCCAGGTCTCTTGATCAATGGAAGATTGCTTCTACTGAGCTAAACCCAGGTGATTTGCCACCACCCTCCACATCAGCAGTGGACAGAAAGACAAAATCAGTGAATTACTTCAAGAGATAATGCAGAAGTGGGTCTAACAGACATCAAGGTCAAAAGGCCTTTGTATGACAATATACAAATACAATGTAAGTAGTCCACTCTATCATGGAAACTCACTGTCAGGCAGGAAATTCTGTAATGAAGAAGAACATCAAACCAGCAGATAGAAACCCAGTACATTATGTAGCCTTCTGATCTCAGATGCTGGACACTAAGTTGGTAGGCCTCAGATGCTCTAGCAGCTTCACAACCCAGAGCCCCCTGCCACCCTGTCAATCTGATAGGGGATGCAAACCTACCCAAAAACAGTTTCCAGACAGGCAAGCAAGAGCTACTTGCACTTGTATGTCTTGACATCTGACTGATTACTGCACAGGTATGGTGTCCTTTTGGCCTGCAAGTCCAGCTCCAGAATGCCAATGCCATTATGCCAGAGAGCAAATGTTGAATGGCAGGATTGAGTCAGTTACTTTGGTATACAGCTGTGTGGCAAATTCTAATTATTTTATCTATAGATGTGGTCATCAATGGAAAAAAAGGACACATGCTCACATGGATGGTATGCCTTATGCTCTATTCTTCATCCTAGCATTTGACTTGCAGTGCCTCTTTCTATGTAGCTGCACAAATGGCTGAGATCCACCAGATGTAGTGTGTCAGCAATGTGCAGTGTCTGCTGCAAGACATAGAGGCATGTAACATGGTCAATAATGATAAGCATGTGCCATGTTTGAGTTATGACATGCATTGCAATGTACATAATGGAGGAGTCACATAACATGCATCTTTACTGAGCTGGGTCAAGAATAAATTGTGAGGTGTACACCTTTGATCATGCTGACCATGTCCTGTGCTTCTTTTATCAGTATACATACTGCATAGAGCATCAGCTTGGGACTATCAGCATTCCCTTGTTGTTGTCGACTTGTTCACTGTGAGCCACCACAGTTGATAGGCCATTGCCTGATCTGGTCAAACTCTACATATGCATGTTGGATGGTGGACAGTGAGGGACCATATTTGCATTTGTGTGCACATCTTGTGACTTATTATCAGCACCTGAGAAAAGAAATGACCACCTGTCCTCCCCTTCCTCAGCACTCCCCTGAATGCAACTCCCCCTGTGCCACACCCTATGCATGCACTTCCCACCCTACATATGTGGATCCACTGCTCACTACCAGTTCAGTTGGTATGTGTCATTGTGCTGCGTTGGGCATCATTGGGCCATGTTGTGCTGCATTGGGCATTGTTGGACCACATTGTGCATTGTTGGGCCATGTTGTGCTGTGTTGGACCATGTTGTACTGCATTATCTGTGCTATGCTGCATTGGCTGTGTTGGGCATCATTGGGTACTGTTGGCCACCATTGGGCACCATTGGGTGTCATTGATATGCATTGGGCTGTGTTGCAGTGAAACCTTTATGAAGCAAGCCATTGTGTGCACATTATGAGAATCTGTGGTATGTTTCCACCTACACCAAGATTCCAAATGTGTTTGGCACTGATGTACCACCATAGTCTGAAGGTCATGCAGGAGGTGATGTGCAGCTACATGTCAGATGTTGCTGTGGTGCAGACTGCCCACATATCTTATGGCACACTGGTTAGAACACAACCATAGTGAACACAACAGGACATTGTGGATAATGATCAAATGACATGATGGAGTCTGGCTGATCAGAGGAGTTATTTTGTATGGGAGAGAAGTTTTTCTCCAACCTTGCCTGGGGTAAGGGATTTTCAGGTTGAATACAATACTTTTTCTTCAATTTTTTTTCAGTGGTGAATGCAGTTGTCAATGGAACCCTGAAGGACATGATGAGTTTAAAAGTTGATCAGGATATGAGATTGTGTACAACTGGTCACACCTCTTGGGACTTGAGGATGACATGTGTTGGCATTGCTTTGAGGAGGACCGCAGAGCATCTTGGTTGTAAGGGAAGGGGAGGGGGGGGGAGCAAAGCTGTCATCAAGGTAAGGGCCATCATCAAACTCAACAGCTCTAGACACTAAGGGCAGTGGTAGCTGCCAGGATCTGATTGGGGGAAGAACTTCAGACATAGTGTGACAAGCGAGGTCAGAATATGCATGTGACTTGCAAAGATGAGCAACTCATTTGGGTGTGATCACAAACACCACATTCAATTGATGCATCAGAGACAGAGGGTGCACAGAGATCAAGCTGAAAGAGACAAGGCAGTGCAGATCCTGAGCAGAGACTGTGTGAAGGGAGAGTGCAAGCCCAGCAGCAGCCAGCAAAAGAGCAGAAGACTGGGCAGGGACACAGGTACATCAGAAGGGCAAAATTTCCATAGAGAACTGGCAGAAACAGTGCAGAGATAATGTAGAAGCTGAGAAGACTTCAGAGAGACAACAGGCAGAGAAAGGCAGAGGAAGTGCAGAGAACTTTCAGCAAGAGTTGGGCACTAGAAGAGGCTAAGCAGAGGCTCAGAGGATGGAAGGCAGAATGTTCTTGTTGCCAAGAAAAAAAAAACAGGAAGAAGAAGCAATTGAGTTAGTACTGCAGATTGACAAGACCCTGATGTGCCCACCTTCTTCCACTTCTTCTGCTGCCAGTGATTGCTTAGGGCAGGCCCTGGAGTCACAGTGCCTTTCTGCTTCTGGAAAACATGCATGTGAGGCAGACCCACATCCCCATGTGCAGATGTGTTATCTCCTCTTGGTTGCAATATATTCCACTCCTGTCCCCAGCACTTGAATGACATGGCTGATGCAACATTTCTAATAAAGCTTTGCAGCCTATTCGGCACCATTATTGATCTGCTTGGACTGTCTTGTGGCCTCCCAGCCATACATGAGGATCAGATTGGCTACATCCTCTGCATTATTGCCACAATCCTTGTTGCCTTCTCAGCCCTCTATGTTTTGGTCTCCCAAATCTCAGCATCATGGCATGTATGCTCTGCACCAGTCAGCGCCCAGAGGGTACAGACCTTTGTGTTGCTCATGCATTGCATTGTCTTGAAGCTTGTAAATGATGCCTGTAGCCTGGCATTTAGTGAGATTTTCATACTTCTCAAGTCATGCCCTCCTGACATGTCTTTCTCAGCTCTACTATGGAGACAGAGCAATTCCTCAAGAGGACTTTTAGCTTGGAAGGACCTGCTCTTTCATATAGAGGAGGGGGAGGAGCATAACCAAGGAGAACAACCAGTCAGTGGAAACAATGAGCATCTGGGACAAGGACAAGAGGAGGGGTATAGAGAATCAATTGAGGCCAGATAAGTGCTGCACAAATGTCTGGTTGAAGCTGGGGAAAGAGCAATGATAGTATGTAGCAGTTGCTCTGAATACTATTCCACATTGACATGCACTGCAGGCACAAGTGCTGGGTAAATGATGTTCCTATCTCTCATTCCACTGTAGAGATGTAAGAATTGCTATGTTATCCTATTTTCATGTGTTGTCTCATGCTGTGCACACCCTCTGATCTTTGGTGCCCTCATGCCCACAAGGCTGGCAATGTAATTGTACAGGATCACAACTGTCATGGCCAAACAAAGCAGTCCCTGGAAAGACTCATATTGCAGTGCCAGAGACAACACAATGTAACATTGCCTCTGTGCTGCCTAACTATGGGGCTAGGCCTAATGCTTGTCTTTGCACCTTGACTAACTCCTGGTGGAGAATGAGGTCCACCTTGGCATTCTCCTTGTGTGTGTTGAGCATATGCAGCTCTCCACACACATGGGCAAGGTCAGCTTTCAGCTCCTGGATATGGCAATTGAGGTTGGTTGCCTTGTCTTCTAGCTTGATTTGCTCCTTTGCAAGGGCAGTGAGCTGGGCCTCAACTGCCTTCTCATTTTCCTTTGCAGCTTGCAGTGATACAAACAAAAGATTTTCTGTGGCCACAGACAACTTCTCCCTAACAGTACTCCTGCCAGTGTCTGTAACCCAGGATTGGCCTCCACAAGGAATGTAGATGACAGGAGGAAGGGGTGTGCACCTGCTGGTTGAGACTTTAAGTGGATTTGGGGCCAGTGAGTTGGTGCACTTCCCCTTAGCATCCTTCCCAACCAAACAACAGACTCATCAGAGTCCTGTGCTGATGGGCTTGGAGTGTGAGCAACAGCATGGCCTCCTTGATCACTCTGGGGAAGACATTGAGAGGACAAAGGATCTGAGCACAATTGGTACTCACCCCAGGCTGCATGTCACCCTCCTCTTCTGGCTCTTGATATAGGAGTCAAAGCTGATATTAATGAGACAGGGGGGCTGCAAAGAAGGTCCTCTGGAAGAAGGTATGCAAGGCTCAAAGTATAATAGGCCAATGCTCATATGTATCTGGCTGTCATTGCAAATAAGCCATTTCAAGAGGTATAGAGAAGTTCTGGCAGTCCCTCAGTTTGAGTCAATTCCTAGCTGTCAAGAGAGTCAAACTGAAGGAAGGGTTGAATCAAGGGGGGAAGCAACTTGATGACCAGATCTGTGGTACAGCTGCCATGTGATGCTTCTCAATTGCACCCTTGCTCCACTTTCTTCTTCCATCTTTGCTCATTGTTGAAAAGAGAGGATGTGATGGGGGGAAGAAGAAAAGGAAGACATGGAGGGTGTTGAGGCAGTTGTTGGGGGGTGATGGCAGCAGTGGCAAGCAAGCACAAAGGGTTCCCAGATGACCCTGGCATCTTCATCACCCTCTCCCTTTGACCACCACCTCCTCCCACCTCTCCTCCCTCTCCTCCCTCCCTCCCCTCCCTCTGACCCCAGCCCAACCTGCACCAGCCCTGGCACTGGGATCACCCCCTAACACCCCCAGCCTCTCAACAATGACACCACCCTCCCACTGTGCCATCCACCCCCTTCCATCCTTCCCAACCCCCCTCCAGCCCCCTCCCAATCTCCCCAGCCTGGCCTGCCCAAATCTGGTGGCCCAATGGTCTTCAAGAGACCGGCCGGGCCTCTTCTGTCCACCCCTAATCCATGTAGCTGGCACTCTGTGCAAGAAACCACCTCCTGCTGGCTTTCTTGTGGAGACCTTGCTCACAAGAACAGTGAGCACATCCCTAGGCAGCCCAATGGTCAGCCAGAGGGGAGGCTGGTGTGGATTCTTTTTTGGGCCCATTTCTTCTTGAGCTTTGCACATTTTTGGGGGGGCATCTGCCTGCCCCTCCCCCTCCCCCTCCCCTTTCCTCTCCCCCCGGCCACTGCCAGGGGAGGTGGGGGTGCCGGCAGCACTGGCAGAGCTTGGCAGTGCCATCGGTATCCCAGCCCACCATGCTCACTCAGCACTGCCAGCCTGCACCAGAGCACCAAGAAGGAGCACCAGTGCCAGGTTTTTTCAGCATCCACCTGCCAGAGGATGGTGAAGGAGCACCAGAGCAGCATTAGCCATGGCAGAGAGAGAGCTGGGTTGGGAGAGCCAGAGCAATGACCCCATGGGGCTTGTTTAGGGCTGGTCCCTGAGGGCTTGGAGCCATGGGTACATGGTGGAATAGGGCCATGCCATGTGCATTTGCCTCTTATTCCAGCAACCATGGGGCAAGCAAGGTAAACATGGGCATGTGCATTCTGAAGCCACTGTGCCCCCTTGGAATTGCCTTGGGCACAGGAGCACTGGGTGGGGCCTGCAGATAACAGTGCCAGCCTGGTCAAACTGGCCATCATGGCTGATTGCTCCTGTGGCTCATGGGGAAGTTTGCTGCATCTTCCCTTGTTGATTTGCCTTCTGGAGTCAGCACATGGTTCTCCTCAGCATTGCTCAGTGTGTCTGAATCAGCCCCCCTTCCAACCCCCCTTCCCTTCCAACCCCCTGCTCCAGCAAGGCAGGGGCATCCTGCCCAGCCGCACTGGGGCCAGGATCCTGCAGGTGAATCAAGTGGCACCCACTGTGTTGCCAGATGGGTGGGGGTCAGAAATGCTGTACATCCCTGAAAAAGCAGAGGCCAGGTTGATGCATGAGCTGCACAAGGTGCTTGCAGGTAAGAAAGGGGCTTTTTCCAAAAGCAGGGCATGAGGGTGTGGGTTTTTTGAGAAACATGGTGCATCACCTGTTTCTGCGGTTTGGCAAGACAAGTGCCTGGGCACAGCAGCACTGTTCTTCCTTGAACCCCACCCCTGCCTCTCCCCCAGCCCCCCCAGAGCCCTCCACTGCTCCCCAAAGGTCATCAGCAGGAGGGAGGTGACTTAGTGTGTCAATGGTCTTATAGCCCTGGGCTTGAGCTTGGCACTGGCTGTGAGCAGCAGATGGTGAGTGAGCAAGGCTTGGAAGAGGGGGAAGGAGGGAGGGAGAGGGGAGGATGTATGTGTGGGCAGCAGCGGGTGGCAGGGGTGGGCAGAGGATGTGCTGGTGACTTCCAGCAACAGCAGTTGCCCCCTCCCCCCCCCCTCTCCCCCACACATGACAACATTCTGGTGCCAAAAATGACTGCGGAGTCAGTGCAGAAATTCATGGAAGGAGACAATGAGGATGAGAGCAACAAATGGTGGTCTGGGACCAGGAACATTTTCTTCATCCCTCTTTCATACATAGGGGATATTCCCTTGCTCTCCTGTTCTATTGGCCTTAGCTTGTACTGCTCTATATCAACACTATGATTGAACTCAATCATACTCGGACATTCACTCATCACAGCAATGGGCATGGGATAAGAGGGAGGAGTATGTACATATGTGCAAGCTGGTTTGGGGAATGTACACAGGGTGCTTGGATGTGCATCTTCTTGCCTTTACCTATTGACAACATCATGGCAGACTCAGTTTCGCTGGACACCCCATGTATTTATGCCCTGCTCAGACCTGTGGGAGCCAGTAAGTCTGCCCTGGCACATTAGATTGCTGGTCAATTCAATGACATCAAGACGTTTGGATCATTAGTCACATTTCATAGATAAAGGACTATTTGGATTTTTCATCTACTGCTGTACCAACATTTGCCAAGTTGCTAGCATGCTGTGTTATGGCTTGTTGGATCACCATCAGGTCTTTGATTGTGTTATTCCTTACTGTGAGGGCACTGGGTCTAGCAAGGTCACCACACACTAATCCCAAGCAATAGATGAAGTGTTGGGGGGTCTACAGTGGTTGAAAGCAGCTCTAACCAGCAATACTAGTCGATATCCAAGTCACCAGGGCTAGCTGGATTATTGGGGGGGTCCCAGGGGGTGTTATAAGTTGGTTATAGATAGCTGAAAAGTATAGCAAAAGTTGTGGAGTCAAGGCAGGTTTCTGAGAGCAGGGTGTTCAGGCGTGTGTAGAAGGGGGTTCAAGACAATGAGATGACTTAGAAACTGCTTGTAGACTAAGGAGTTTCCTCAGAGATCAAATCTGAGGGATACAGCGTCACTGTACTACTGTTTATATACCTTGTAGGTGTTCACCAGAAGCCCAGGAGTCCAGGTAAATTCTGGGGACTCCTACAAGTGTCAGATAGACGTCCTAGCAACACCCCTAGGCTTCCCAAACCTTTCCAATAAATTGTGGAGACTCCTACAAGTGTCATCTTGCGTCCCACTACTCCCAGTAGGGGCCTTTAGCACTGCTATGTCTCACCCCAAGTGTCTGGACACAGCAGTCTTGTGGTGTCCTCTGCACAATGTCTTGTATGACCACTGCCGTCGTCCTAAGGCAGTTACCAGCACAGGAAGTTCCAGGGGCTTGTTGTTTCATTGCTCCTAGGGCAAAATGGGTGGCCAGGGGTGGTAACAGGCAGTGCCCTGACATTCGCCCAGGCTCAGAAAAAAGCTCGAAGAGACTTCCGTGGTTGTGGGTGTATCTACAATCCCAGGTCCCAAGGCTTTAGGACCAACCTCGGTCTTCCGGGGATGTTCCCGTCCCACCATTTTTTGTTGGTCTCCGTTATATGGAGACCAAGATCTAACACGGAGCAGTTTTTGCTCTAGTCTCTAATATACTCCGATTGTAGGAGTAGTGTAAAAAAGTCAAAGGGCTTACGATGCCCTTTTGCTCCCAATAGGTACACCAATCAAAGGTATTACTATCTAGTAGTAATACAACAAGGGTGTACTAAAGAGAGATAGAGAAAAGGGTGGCCTACAGCCACCCGCTACGTGTAAGTCCATCGGACGATCTGATCACCCTAGAGGCAGTGTTACCGTATATGGTAAGTATGGGGATATCTACGTATCCCTTACTGGCCTAGTGGACAATTTGTGGGACAAGGATGAGCTGAGCACAGCCGAGTCCCCGCTGCATCAGGATGACCAGGAGATGGACCAGGATGGCCAGGAGGACAGGTATGCCCTGGCCCCAGAAGAGGGTGGAGGCCATATGTACGGGGTTGACTGGGCGGACCTGGATCGCCCGGCGCTCGTCCAGCATCACCATGCGCACCATCCGCTCAACATGGCCGAAGTGGTTATAGATAAGCCCGCATGCCCTATTGGGCCAAGAGAAGCTGCATGGCTACGGGAGGTGCTCACAAATCTGCCGGATTCCGACGGGCAGGACGAGATGGCGCTGGTCTGGCAGAAGATGTTGGAGACTTATGAGGTTGCCTCGGCCCAACCTGTGGGACATGACATTGGAGTCGTTTAATGAACCAATCAAATACATTTGCATGAAGGGAACTATTGTAGTAGATACCGGCTCTCATGCCTGCGTGATCAAACAGTGGTGTGCTCCCTCTGCGCGGTGATCTCCGTGAACATAAAGGTCTCGAAATGAAGCTCTGTCCCGTAATCACCCATAGCAGCCGGGTCATCGTGGGCCGCCACGACCAGAAAGACGACCATCCGAGCGCAGGTCGAGAACTTCCCGTCTTCAGCGCGGGTATCGAAGCGGACCTGCGGTGCCAGTGAGTGCTGGAAGGAAGGCACACAGGCCAGGTGGGGAAAGTGTGAGACTAACCCAGATCTTCCCATCAACGGCACTATAAGCACTATACGCCTTGGATGCAGTAGTAGAGGGCGCTCTGACTGTCTGAGTAGCATTTCACATTGCCCGTGGTGTTGGAGGCGACGGGCAGGACGGGAAATGAGCATCGGTGCCGCTTTTGGTGTCCAATAGAGGATCGTAGGGAGAAGGGCAACGGTCTGTCTTACATGGATTCTCTCCGGAACATTTCATTTCGGGATACGGGGCGTCCAGAACGTTCATTGGTGGGTTGAGGAAAGCGCGTTTGAGTAGGGATACAGAGAAGGCTTGAGACGTGGAGGCGTAAAAAGGAAAGGAATGCGGGAGTCGTAAGGCGTGAGGACGCTGGTTTATATGGGCTTGTGTGTGGGAATGGGTCGCAGTGTGATTGAGCCTTGTGAACAGCGAAGTTGGGTATGTTCGGTGGGCCAAAGCTCTTCGGCAGCGAAAAGAGGGAGAGACTTGCCATGCAGGGTGAAGCGTAGTAGTACGAGTGTGCATGTGCGGGTAGTGTACGATCGGAGTGCCTTCATCGAGAGCAGGTGAGTGGGTGCAAGCGTGATGTCGGTGAGAGCAGGAAGTCAAGGTCGAACGATGTGGGATTCTTGGGATGAGCGGCTGCGCGCTGTCGTTCGCATTGCTGGGGTAGGAATAGCGACCGGCGGAGGTAAGACCGCTCCGAGGAGCTTACAGAGAACGTCTGGAGGCGAATTGTATGATCGGTGCGAGGTCGTGACGAAGGTCGTGATGCAGGTTGCTGAGACGGAGGTGACGGGCTAGACGATACATGCTGTTCACGGTCCAGAGCAGTGGGATGAAAGGGGGCGGTGGGCGCTGGGCTGGACGGTCAGCGAGGAAGGTGATGGGGGAAAAGAGGGGGCGTACCTGCAAAAGGAGAAGTCCACACTGTATATAAGTCATTGAGGAGCGGAAGCAGACGGCCAGGCGATTGTTCGGTTGAGCGATGCGGGGTGAACCGTGAGGCGGGAGCGTGTACAGCACGCACAAAGAGGGGATTGACATGGCGGTTGCTCGCTGAGCAGTAGTGAAGGAGATAGCAGAGAGAAGGGGGGAGCGGACGACGAGGAGGGGGGGGGAACACACGATGAGAGGAGTAGGGTACAGGGGATTGTTGACGCGACCCGATTGTTGTGGGCGTCACGGGACTAAATGCTCCCGTCAAATGCGGTCCTCCTCCATCATGTCACACGTTTCCTCTCTCATCACATGACTCTCTCGATCTTCACAAACCTCTCTTCATTATCTTTGCCTCAAGGAAGTCGTCAACATGCCGGATGCGGATGAGTCTAGAAACGCGCAGCCTCGAGCTCGATCCTGGCAGCAGCTTCACGGCCGAGACCTCGGCCACCTTCGCGTACCGACACCCCCAAGCGACTGGACGGGGGGCGTTCTCAAGGCGTTCAACATCTCGGTGGAGTTGGTCAAGCCGGAACTCTTCTATGGTCCGCATTGGCAGGAACGCTCCGTTGCGAGCATACCTTCGGTGGTTTTCGAAGTCGCAGACCGCGCTGGCCTCCCTCAGAACACAGAGAGGCACATCCGACGTTATTTCGACTATCTGTCCCTCGCAACGAACGTTCCGCAAGAATCTGGCGTAGATGCCCTCGTCCAATCTACCCTCGAACTCCTCAGTTTTGACGAAGACGGCCTAGTCGTGCTCCCCCACTACCACTACATGTTCGAAATGGCCGGTAAAAATCTCATCATCGAATGCGATGTCGCGCTTATCCATGCCGCGTATCTCCTCACCTGCTTGGTCGTAGAGGACAAGCGCCTTTCGAACAATGCGCAGGACCCCGAGGCTCAGGCCATCGCAGAGGCCATTGCGGCCGTGCAAGCGAACAACCGCATCCGAAAGAACAGCAGCTTGCCCCCTCTCACCGAATTCACTATGCCTTTCATGACGATGAAAGGAGCAGAGCCTACGATGTACACCATCACCGTGACCGCCGACCTCCTTTCGGCCATCGAGACTGGGAGCTATCCGGATGAAGCAGTTGTGGTGAAGCGGGCCATGCCGAGCTGGAAAGTGGCTGGGCAATTTATCGTGGGCAACAACACCGGTATGGAGGCTCTCAACCGGCGCAGGATCATTATGGGTGATCTCGATGCCTTTCGACGACTTGTGCGAGAGCTGCGCCGACCTCTGCACCCGATGTTCGCCTGAACGACGACGACGTATTTTGAAGACTATCTCTAGCGCTTGTATGATTTCCACGACCGTTCCACCATCTCTCTCGCTTAGGGTTAGGGTTGAGTTGAACGGAAATTGGATGAGAATTGAGGGCGAAACTGCCTGGGTAACGGTCTGCCGCGTTAACGATGTGTATGCCTACTCGCGCACGTGCTCCTATGCAATGTTCTACATCTCAACTGCGTTTTTTTCTCCGTTTCCTAAAGGTTGAGATGCTATTCTACGTGTTACAGTTTCAAACGAGTTTCTAGCTACACCATAGACAGAAGCATAAGCCTTGCACTCTGTAAGTTAGCCACTGTGTGGTCTCGCCACTCATCTAATAGAAGCATGCTATCTTGTGTAGTGCACACTCAAGTAAGTGCTGTATAGAGCTGCCCATGTGCAAAAACATCACTCTGTCCATCCAGCACTGTCTGATCTAGGGTAAGACCCTGACAGGCATTAAAGGTAGTTGCATACGCCAGTCAAAGTGGTATTTGCATATGTATCACAGTCCAGCTGGCATGGAATGGTCAAAAGGAGAAATGGATCTGTGGGATGCAATGTACCACATCCCCCACCTCACCATTGGCTTCTAAGACACAGACCTGCACAAACCTTTGATGCAACTTCTCCATTACCACCTGTGCATGTTTCACCAGCCTAGCCTTCACAGAGAGGTTTTGCATCAGTGCACAGATAGAGCCCACCTTAAGCACCAATTCATGTGGAGGCACTCCTGTCTTCTGTAGGTTGTTTAAATAGTCTGGCAAAAGGTGTGGATCATTGGCATCCAAGTCATCAGCCTCCTTGATAGAATTGGCACTGTAATAGACCACTTGATAGAATATATTAGCCATGCATTCTAAAGAAGGTAAGAAGCATACCTTCATCTGTGGTAAGCAAACTCAACAGTAATGTGTTGAACTCATCAACAACCTTGTTTAGAGGAGATAAAAAGCTGTGGCACATACAGGCTGCCAGGTCATTCAGAATTGGAGGTGGATAGAGAAAGTCAAGCACCTCCATCTCTGACTTGATGATCCCAAACATTGGAAGCTGAATCCTTTGTTGCAATATCTCTGCTCTAACCTCATCCACAAACTCTGAAAATTCCAGGTATTGCTGATTTTGTATTGATGCATGGAGGGTGTGAAGCTGGAAGAAGTGCCATAAAGGGCTGGAGAGGATTGAAGCAGCATAGGATGCCATGCTTCCCCCATCCTTTACAACAAGAGCAACCCGATGGAAATCCCCCACACCAAGAAAAGGTATGCCTCCAAATGGAATATCCCTTTTTTCAATGAGGCAACAGATGGCATCATACCTCATGAACTGGAATCTGAAACAGAGAATGTGCTGTATGTCCCCTCCTGTAATTGGATGCAGCAATTCCTGTTGAGGCAACCACAAGCACCACATTGCCATGGCTGCAAAGCCAAGCACAGAGTGCATTCACCAGGTATGTTTTTCCTCAACCAGGCTTTCCCTCAAGAAACATTGGTGTGGAGTCATGTGGAACAGCACCCAGTTTTTGACAGAACTTATCGAAGAGCAGCTGTTGCTTGAGAGTAAACCTGGCAAAAGCTACCTGCCATTCCTCTGCAAATCTGAGCACATGAGGAGCAAAAGCAGCAAGCTCTTCTTCCACCTCTGCAGACTGATGGTTTGGCTGTCATAAACCATACTGCCTTAGCTCCTTGCCAATATCTGCAAGAAACTTGCCAATAGCAAGAAGTGTCTGGTCATAGGCCATCTCCACATCTGTAGGTGTTGCCTGAAGTCTACAGAGAGTTCATCTCTGTACTGTGTCCATAGTGGAGGAGCAGGATAGCCTTCAATAATGATGCATGCAGAGAGGAACCACAACTGGCCAGGAGTGCATAGATCTAAAACTGCCTCAGCAAGTGCATATGCACCCTCATGTTCATCATCAAACAGGCCCAAGGCATGTGCAACTGCTGCATAGGAGTTGTATTGAACCTGCTGAACCTGATACAGCTCTGCATGACTGAGAGCTGAGCAATGCTGTAGCAAGCACTGAAGGTAGAAGACATCTCCAGCAGAGGGCAAGATACTCTGAAGGCAAGCATGGTGGGAGGTGGTCCATTGTTTGACAAGCTTCTGAGGCATGTACTGCCATGGCTCCTCCAGGAAAGTTGTCACATTATTAGGCAGTTGGCCATTCCAGGTCTCAAGAATATATTGTGAAAAATACTCTTCATAGAGCAAAGGCAGAAATTGAGGCAGTTGGGGTTGGGCAAAGTAGCACAACAGAGTTGAGGCTGAAGATTCATTATTGTGTGCTTGGAAAAACTGCCCATAGTTTTCCCCCTCCAAGTGCACTGCTAGCTGTGTGACAGAAGGGGAGTGCATAATAATGTCAAAGCCTGCAATCCTCCAGGCACCTTCTGTGGTGGAAAGATAATGGCCCTTGATGTAGTCAGTGATCTCATTGATGGCAGGCTGGTTTTCATCCAAGACTGCAAAAAAAGTATGATCAACACCCTTGAATAGGTACTTGTAGAGGTAGATGAAGACTACTTGTGAAGTTGCCACAATGTTGGCATGAACATGACAGTCAAGCTCATCCATAAAGAGTGGCATATGAGGTGCTATCCACTGGTCAATCTCTGTGACCCTCTTGTAGTGAGCAAAGCCATCAGCATCCACTAATGTTTCATCTTGGAGGGTATGTGGGAACCCATATATGCACTGACCATCCCTATTACAACAGCTATATCAGTCTCAGCTGAGATGATCTCAAGGGTGAAGCATCCATCATTGGATCTTGGCAGCTAGCTGGGGATCTTCTGGAAGGCAAGCACAAATTACCCAATCAATCTGATCTGGTGGCAGCTCAGGATGAACCTAGGCAGTCTATGTGAGGAACACAGCAATATTGCCAAACCTAAACACACCTTCATCATGAGGTGTGCATGTGGCAGACCATGCTTCTGAAACTCAATAACCTGCACAATATACACCAATTTGCCAAAGTGTTGATGGAGAAGATGATGAAAGTGCTGCAGATAAAGCTTGAAGATGCAGGCCACTACCATTGGGATATCTGATGCACTCTGTCCTGGTCAAAGTACATCAAGGATCTCTGGCCAAGTTGGATTGCATGTCATAGTTATAAACAGACTGGCCTTCCCATCAGTCCAGTCCAAAGAGAGTGAGTCTGCAGTCTGTTGACTTGCCCATCTGCATGAGCCAGTAAAGCTTGCAAGCAACTCAATGTCCAGCTCAGCCTCCTCCTCAGCCTCTCCTTCCTCCCTCTGTTCTCTGTGTCTTGCAGCCTGATGCTCCCATGCCTTGCCAATATAGTACAGGTGCTGCTCTTCCATGTGAGAGAACATATCACATATATACTCATTTGCCAGGCAACCAAAGTAGAGGAAGAAATCCTCTGTGAGAAGCTGATTGCAATACCATCACATCTGGGTGAGACCATGGGGGTAGCAAGGATGACCCAGACAAAGTCCTTGAGGGTCATCATAGCCAAGCAGGCCCCATCCAGCTGTTGCATGGGGAAAGAGAAGTGGGTATTGAAGTGGCTTGTAATGCTGGCTGAAAATGCTGATAAAGGATGGCTATTCTGCACCTGGAACAGAAGTCAGCCATTATATACCTCCAAGCAGACTGTTACACATACCCAAGCACCAGATCAAGATGCTATGTGGATCCACCACAATACTGTTATTGGCATGCATTATAGCAGCAAAGTCACCTGCTGCCATATGCTCTGGCAATTCCAACATTGCAATGTCAGGCAGTTCCTCATGCTGAAAACATTGGAGTGCATGAAGATATGGATTATACTGTTCAAGTACCAATGACACTGCAGTGAGCAATGGCTGAGGTACCTGCCAAGCTTGAGCTGCTTGCTCCCTCTCATGCACATCATAGAGAAACCAGTGGATTGAGTGAGCTGGCTCTGCTATATCAAGCATATGGTGATAAGTGCGCCCTGTAAGCACCACATTGGAAGGAGCAGGCTTGTTGATGAAAGCTTCTGATGTGCCAATAGCTGTAAATACAAAAACAAGCACATCAGGCTGATCAGCAAGCCCATGCAAGAGAGAACCGAGCTTCCCAACCCTGGTGGCTAGACTTCCCTGATAGTGCCTCAGTGGCTGGACAACAGCAGGCTGTCCTCAAGTGGAACAGGGTGTGTCTTTACTACCATGCCAGCCTTCTCAGGTAAGACACCAATGACTAGTGTGGGTGGCTGGGATGCTGATTGCTGAGCTCCAGTGGAGAGCCTGCCACATTCTGCTGCAACAGGGGTGTTAGAGCAACACAGGCTGACTAAGTCTGCTCACCTAAGAGTGCCAAGAGTCTAAGCAGGCAACAAGGAAGTGGAGTAGACCTGATGACTAAGACCTATCTACAGTATAGGTACCTGTGGATGATCCTAAGAGACCAAGTCTGAAGAGACAGTGCCCAGGCAGAGTAGGCCTTATATTTATACCTCTGTGGTGGAACCTGCTAGAACATCTTGCTTACTCAGCCTAGTCAGGTGATCAGGTCATATGACCAAGGATGAGGTCATATGAGGTCATGCACAACCATGCACAGCAGGTCACCTGACCATCCAATCCTTCCAGCAGGTTCCAGCACATGCCAAGGTATACCAGCTACTTCCATGTCATAAAGGCTTAGTCATGTCTCTTGACCAAGCAATGAGCTGGTGCCCTGACAAGGGGCCAATATCAGTTACCTCCTCTACCACCTTTACTGGAAGAATTTGGCATTCTGCTAGCTCATCCACATATCTCTGAGCTGTCTTGGAAGCTCAATAGTCTCGTCTTGCAAGACTCTCAGCATGCTGTTGAGGAGTTTGCTGTGCTTGACATTCTGCTTGCTGCCTTGTGTTCTGCTCTTGACGATGTTCATGCCAGTGAGGATCAGCAGATCAGCAGGCATAGCATGCATGTTCTTCAGAGGGAGTCTGATGGCAATGGAGCATCAGGCAGACCACTAAGGGATCATTGCTCATTTCCCACATGGGGTCATTTATGCAAAAGGTGCAAGGGTACCCATTGGCAGTATCTGAATTCAATTAACAATGTGAGAGACATGCCAGAGACAGGTGTATCTGGTTGAGATGCACCCCATATATGAAGCAAGCCTAGGTTCTCTAGCTACACTTCTGTGCATGTCATCCTTCTCCTTCCACTTTGGTGCTAGCTGCAGCCATCAAGCTATCTGAGGCATCAGACCCAGATGGTGCTGCTATAGTTGCCATTGCTGGAGATGAAGAGCTGATATTTGAGGGTTGCTGAGAAACTCCTCCTGTCTTCTCCAAACTGTGCCATCAAAAGCCACCTGCCTTTGAAGGTGTGACTGGTGCTGCTGTTGAGGTGCTGCTTAGTGATGTGGGGAGGTAGTCAAGATCAAGAATCATCATCTACAGTCAGAACATTACATTGAAGTAAATAAGCAAACAGACAAACCTGGAGTGATAAGCAGTCCTCCTGCCCACCCTCACCCAAAGGCAAAGCCAGGCCTGTAAGAACACCAGTAATGTGCAGTGTGGTTGTCACTGAGACCTTTGGGGCAGAATGGGCAAACTGGCCTTCATCTGAGAAGAAGTCAGCTGCAAACTCCCAACCAAGAACAACAAGAGGCTACTGATGGGGAGGGTCACTCATCTCAGGCCCCATACAATGGAAAGAAGGAAAGCAATGAGCTGCAGGACCCATCCAGATCAGTGTGGCCCACTCCCATCTCAGGAACTCATGAGACCTCCAAACACTCAGTCTGGAGGAGCTCCTACAGCAGCCAATCCCTGACCCTCACCCCCTCCAAACTGGATGAAAGAGGCAAGATGCATACTCTGTGGCAGCTCTGGACTGGTGAACCACATGAATTTGAGCTCAAGAAGATGAGCACCTTGCAGCTGATCCTGATGAAGCACAGGCCATTCAGTTTGTTTAGGATGAGTTTGACATGTTGCTGGCAGAAGACTCCAGAGCAGGGGCACAGGAGGATGTTGAGATGGGTAATGGAGAGGAGGAGGAAGAGACACTTTATCGGGAATGGGTGGAAGTGATGTACATACTGTATTTCTCTGGACAGCAGTATACTGCTCATGCAGTACACAGCCAGCAGATGTATACTTCAGGAGAAGGGTTATATGCATGGCAAATACTCTAGCAAGCAACCACATGGTCTTTCTTGATGGACAACCTGGTGGAAGACCTCTTGAATTGGTGGATATGAGCACTGGGTATTGGCAGGGACCACATTCCTCCAGAATCCAGACACACTTTCAAACTGCAAGTTGTTACATGGACTGGTCTTGAGCACTGCATCTTTGGAGCAGTTGACCAGCATGCAAGCCCTGTACATCTTCTCCTGAGACATGGCTTCCTGGCATGTACTCCTGAGGTGCCACACATGGCCATCAACATCCAAATATTGGATGTGTATCACTGGGCACAATTGCAAGGATATATGTCTCTGGAGGCATGGACTTATATGGTGTGCAACTTACATGGGGTAAGCTCTCATCTGGAGAGAAAGGGAAACCATTTTGACATCATGAACAGGCCCCTTACAAACATTCTTTCTGGAGATGGTTGGCAGAAGCATATGACACATATACTCTGCTGCTCAGGGCACGCAAGAAGAGAGTGGCTGAAGGCTTTGGTCAGGATACTGCAGACTGGCATGTGAAACACATATGTCCAGCCTGCATTTACAAGGTATGTTTGGGAGATTCAGTATAACATGTTGCATTGCTGAAATTCAATCAAAGCTTGAAGATGAACCATCCTTGCCCTTCTCCCAACTCCTGTGTGGGGATGGGAACAATTACAGCAAGAGGTTCACCTATGCTGGACATCAAGACCCTCATGTATATGACAGCAACTATATCCTGCCAATTGAACAGGTGGAGCACTTCAAGAATGACATATGAAGTCACCCAATATCTCAACCAAGTACATGAACCTTGCAAGAAGCAGATCCCACTGATGGCCTGCATCCCAAAGAAGGCTTGAGGATTGATCTGGATGAGACTTTGGGGGCCTGTGCAGAGAAATGGACATCTTCTCAGGCCCATGAGTCAGGTCAAATCTTTTAGCAGACACTGGCCAAGACTGGTCATTCCCTGTCCATATATCAGCACATCTTCATATGTTACTCTGTGGACATGATACATAGTGGAGAACTGTAAGTATTTCTCTGGAGCATGATAGAGGCAAACTAACACATATTCTAGAGCCAAGTATTCCATTGTGACTCTGGACCACCTCCTCAACCTCTATGGTCATGATATGGCATTTGGATATGACATTGGCTGTACCCATTTGGTTACAGTCCTCTGGAGTAGCATAGGAGAAAAGGCCAGTCAGTCTCAACTTTGTTTTTTTGTGGGGGCTTTTCACAGCTATGTGCACAACTGCCATTGCCAAATCCACTACCATCCCAGAGTCTTGACAACAGCCAGCCTTGAAGATTTTGAAACTTGCAAGTGGGTTTTCAGTCAGGAAAATCAATGCACACACCTTTTCCAACATGGATAATCCTTCCATTGCCACATGACTCTGGATTGGTTCCACCGGACTTGGGATTTGGATTGTCATGCTGCACTTGGTAAGTTTTTCTGGAAGAGATACTGTCAGGGGACATCCCTAAAATCAATTGCAGACAGTGGCAATTGACAACAATCAGAGCACAGTCACATGGCATGACACCCCAAACAACAGCTGATACTACAATCACCTGACTCCAGGAAGGACAGATCCCAGAATGTGAGATGTTGGTCATAGATTGTGCGGGACTGACCAGACAAGAGACATAAGGTGCCTGCCCTGAGCAAGCTGTATAGTCAGACTTTCCTTCCTTTTACTTCCATACCTAGACATGTATAGAACCCTAGGTATAACCCCTGTAGCTCTTTAGAGCTATTCTCTTAGGAACCCCATGGTCCAAGGTCATTAGGTTCTAAAAACACAAAGCTTTGATTGTTCCAAACATGCACACAACACACACACAATTGTGCCTGTCAGCTGCTGATCACCACTTACTCTATAAACCCCTGTTGATCACTCTGTTTGTGAACAAACATCAAAGTATTGATTGATGTACAACTCACTAATCTCCAATTTGCTCATCACCTGTTTGGTTATTCAATCATCAATGATTGTTGGATCATGTTGTCCTCACAGATACCAAGATGTTCCTGACTGAACATACAGGGGAATTTCTTTTCCAGAATTATAGGCAAGCACTGAAAATCATCAAGACTGAAGGTCAAACCATTGGAATGGTCTTGAAGAATTTAAACCTGTTGTCAAATGATCTCAACCAATCTTGTCAGGATGAACAGGCTTTTTTTAATAACCTCCAGAGAGAGCCAGAACTTGATGAGAAAGCATTTGACTATCTTGATGTCCTGAAGCTCCTGGATAGCATGCAGTATGCAATCTCATCTCTGGCAAATAACCTTTGTAATTGAGCATGACAGGGAGGACCTTGCATCAACTTAGGCACAATCCTTCATTGTGTCAACTCCCAAACAATGGAGCCAAAGAACACACCAGAATCAAGGCCAAACAAATGAGTGACTGCATCTCCGGAAACTGTGTAAAGTTCTGGATCTCAACACAATGGCAACCAAGTTTGAAGAGACACTCAATATGGACCAATGGACTCCAGACCATCTGTCCTGGGTGCACTATACTCAAGCTGCTCAAAGTTGGGAGTTTCAACATGCACTTGACCATCTGAAAAGCCTTGTCATTCAAAGACTTTTCAAAATGGAACAAATGAATGCCCATGGCATGAGTAAGTTTATACCTATTCCATGTGATATGGCTAATTCTTCCCAGACTACAAAATGAGAACTTCCATTGCCAAAGCTCTGCAATCTGGGAGCACAGCCATCCAGACTGCTCTCGCCAACTACAACCATCTGGCTGCTACCATCACTCCTGCATGACCTTGCCTGATGATGACAGTGGTTCTGGATCATGTGTTTCTCAGTGAATTCATGATCTTCAGGCATGGCAGCCCACCAAATGATCCCTCCAGACATTGGATGCATGCACAGATTCAGGAAGCAGTTGTGAAACATTGCTCCTCAAGTGCACATGTGAAGATATTGGATGTGGAGGTTTGGTGTGTTCTGACAGCTGTGGAGGATGAGCATGAGGCCATGCAAAAGCATATCAACTGTGTTGCATGCTCCAGAAATGCAGCTCTTGCTGTGGAGATGCACTCCCAAATGGAAAGAAGAACATCCATTGACAAGTGCATGGTGAAGTGGCTTCATGACATCATGCACCTCCCTGGTTATTCTGGATCTTATGTGCAAGGAGAGCCAGTCTTGAGTATCTATGGGTATATGCAATCTGGAGATGGAGAATGTGCTGATGTGGAGGAGCTTCAGTCACCTGGTCCAAAAAGAGGTGTGGAGGTAGGTTTGACTGTTGATGGCTCAAGGCAGTATTCAAGAGCCTGATGGAGGCCCCCAAGAGCGAGGTGAGGAAGTGGGTCGGTGCTCTGGTGCAGCGATACAAGGAGGGAAGCGATGTCAAAGACGAGGAGAAGGGCGTGCAGGACTTGGCTATCATCTTGGATAGCCAGTTCCTGGGAGACATCGGCATCATGTGTGTCTTCGTCCTCAATGTCCTCCACTTGAACCCGGGTGAAGCCGTTTTCCTCAAGGCAAACGACCCGCATGCATATATTGATGGTGGTAAAAATATCCTGATTTGTTGACATGTACATTAGTTAATGTGCGGTTGGAAGAAATAGTGCCCGAAAACAATTGTGTGATTTCGAGTGTCAGTATATAATCTCACCCAGGGTATTCTTGCCCAGCAGAAGGCGGCAGGCATCTCGGCAATCCTCTCGGACAAAGCACCTGTCACCGAGGCTATGTTTGGCGTGAATGGGTTCAATGATGGCAAACCTGCCAACAACAAGCAGAGGGCTAGCCAGTCCAAATCCTCTTCTTGAACTTCAAAATCATTTTCTTCCTCCCCATCTTCCACAACATCTCCGCCTATCTCCTGGTTCTTGCTTTCCTCTTCTTCTTCTTCCACTTCCTTGTTTGAATGTTCAAATTCTGCTTCATGGTCCGGTTCATTCACTTTGAAGTCCATGTTTTCGAGATTTCAGAGGACTGTCTCCACTGCGCTTGACATGTCTTTCCAGGCCAGGTAGGGTATCACCCTGAACTTGGCAATCATATGCTGGAATATTGAACTGTTGAGTTTGGCCACTATGTATGTGCCTCCGGATCTCTGCTTGACAACAATATATGGTCCCATATACTGACTCTGCATCTTGTCCTAGAGGGGGGCATCCTGTCTGCTGTTCCTGATGAGGACTAAGTTGCCTGTTTCAAAGTCATGATTGTACATCAGGTTCTTGAATCATTCTCAAAACCTTTCTGTGTTCACATATCAAGCTTTCAAAAACCTCCTTTTGATTTCCATTAAGTCCTCTGGTCTCTTCAGGAGTTGTTGAGCCCAGAATGCCACTAAGTCTGCATGTGACAGGAGTTGATCTGGGGGTGGAGGTAGCCACATTGCCTCTATAATGTCCATTGGCAGAAGGGGGTGAATTCCATGAGCCATGTAGAAAGGACTCATTCCTGTAGCACTGTGAATAAATATTCATTGTGCCCAGAATACAGCCAGAACCACTTCAGGCCATTTTGACTTGTCTTCAGACATTGAATGGATAATCAATTCTCGAACCATTCAATGACTTTGTTCTACAATTCCATTTGCCCTTGAATTGTAGCTTGAAATTTGAATGTGGTTCAAGTGGTACTTTTCCTTGAGGGTATTCATAGCACTGATCCAAGGAGACCTGTTGTCTGTGATGATTTTGCTGATAGCACCCCAACAACAGAGGATGTTCTTGTGGATGAAGTGCTCTATGACCTTGGCCATTTCCTTCTGGCAGATCATGTACTCCAGCCAGTGCATAAGTGAACACCAAGCTTCCAGGATGTACCTCATTCCTTGATATTGACCTTTCGAAGGTGGCATGAACATCATGTTGCAGTGAGCTTGAAAAAATAGTGGTTGTGGAGTCTGTACCATGGGCAGAATAACCATGTGTCTCATCTGTTGTTGTTGGCACTTGTCACATGTCCTTAGGTACCATTTTGTATTGTCCATCAAGTTTGGCCAGAAGAAACAAAGTCAAATATGGTCATATACCATTTGAAAGCCCCTGTGTCTGATCTTGTTGTGCATGTTCCGAAGGACATTGATCCTCTTTTTGAATTCAATATAGAGCTGATGTTCTCCATTTTTGTCCCATTTGTATAAGTTGCCCTGGCCTTCAAGGAAGTAATGTGATGTCTTTTCTAGAAATGACTTCCTTTGCACCTCCATTAGACTTTGAGGTCTTCAAAAGTTTTTTAGGTATTGTCCAATCGCTAGGATCTTGTTGTCTATTTCCTTTGTCTTCCTGAGCCTAGGTAGCACCTCTTCTGGGGGGTTCAAAAATTTGGAACAGGGCTTTGAAGGGACTGTTCCAATACAAACATGTAAGACAGGCCAAGGGTATTGTCATCTTTGAATTTGGGGAAGCAGTCATCAATATTGGATTGGTGGGCCACAGGTCATCTTGAAAGGTCATCTGGCACTGTGTGTTGTTCTGCCAGGACATGGTGGGGTTTGAAATTGAAAAGATGGATCCAATGGATCCACCAGTTCAGAACAACACTTGGCTGTATGTCCAGGTGGTTCAGCATTCCTTGGATGTATTTTGCATTGACCTCAACATTGAAATTTGGCATGCCTATGTGCCAGATTTGAAACACCCTTAATGCTTGGTAGAGACCATACAGTTCAAGCTTTGGTTGTGAGTACTTGCATTTGACTTTGTTCCAGTTGATCAATCCAAAACATGATGGGCAGTGATCTGACCCAAAAGGTGTCCAAAATATTGGTCTGATGGGTGGTGTGTGAGAACTCACAAGGGAAAGAAGGGAGAGATAGGGAAAATTGGTAGAAATGCTGGAGTCAGCCCAAAGCTGAGCTGTCAGAAATTGGTTGGTAAATCAGAGCTTGTTGTCCATCTAGTCAAGTGTCACAATAAGTCAAGTCAAGTATGCTGAGTCAAGATGATGCTGCCTATCCAGTATGGGGATAATCAGATCCATATAATGCTATCAGGAAAGGGGCAGAATAAGCTAGATACAGGAGTTTCTGGAAACTACTTATGCTAGCTATCATGAACCACACTCTATACTAATCCAGTCTCTGGATACCTCTCTAAGGCAAGTGCTGGCATGCCAAATATCCAGGTGGGTCAATCCTGTTGCAGAGGAAACCCACTGTTGTCATGCCAAATATCTGAGTGGTCTCATTGCCTGGAGAATCACAGTAGTCACCATGCCAAATATCCATGGGGTGGTTGAGACTTGTTGCTGGGGCACCATTGTCCATGTGGTGAGGGTCCATAGTGCTGTGCAACAGTCTCTAAGGCCCAAAAATAGCCATGGGAATATTGGCCTGACACACCCCACTGGAGGTGGGGTTGTTCAGCAGTGCTTTCCTTTTTTGTCATTCTGATACAGAACAAAACCAGTACCAATGTTCAAAGAATTGACTGCCAAGGTAATATGGCAGTTGCTCTTGTAGTCAATGGGCTTGAGGACATTGTTTGTTTCAGCCACAATTGCTGATTCCTGTAGGACATGAACAGCCTCATATTGTTTGAGTCTGAATTTGAACAGCACACCTTTGCGTTTCAGACATTCCAGTGGGTGCACCTTCCAAGCAAACACTTCAATGAAAATTCAAAGGACACCTACTGTGCTGAGGAATGCCCTGACTTCTGAGAGATTTTCACACAGCAGCTTCCATTTGGTGATTTTTCAAACTTTCGACAGGTCTGGAGCTTGGCCTTCATAGCAACACCTGTAGCTGAGGAGTATTATTTCCAGGACACACAATTGTACTTTTGGTCCAGAGAAGGTTCCTCCCACATGTTTGGCTTGCTGGATGATTCAGTGCATGTTTCTGAGGTGTTCAAAAATGAAACATCAAATGCTGGGGTTGCCTGGGATTGTTTCGAACTCTCCGTTGGCCTTTTTGTACTGAGTCTTGGGGCCTTAAACCCTAACCCTAACCCTAACTCCAATACCATCAATAAAAGGGGTGGTCAAATGAGGAATTTCATCCTGGAAAATGAAGTTGATGTTGTCCTGCATGGTGCCTGGCATGTTGTGGGTGCCCATGGGTGCAACAGTATACCTGAGTGGGCTGATGGGAGACTGAAACAAAGTGTAGTCCCTCAAACTCAAAGCAACAGGGTGCTGTTTGAATCCTCAAAAGAAGTCCAGAAGTCTGTAACATCCTCTCAATCTGAAGTCTTCCAGAATGTGTTCTGTCAACAGGGGAACTGTGCTGCTTCATATCATGACTTAGTTTAAGGGCTGAGTGTTCATGATGGGCCTCAGTTCTCCGTTCTTCTTTTGAATAACAAACCAGTGAGATCAATATGCAGACTGAGAGCATTCAAAGGTGCCTGCAGCTACCTTGGCATGAAGGACTTTAATCACATCTTCCATAAGGGTGGGTGGCACTGCAATATTCTGTTCTGCCACGGAACATGTTCAACTGTCAGAAAGATAACTGGATCAAAATAGTCAGCTTGAGATCATCCAATTTCTGACTTGGCCCATGAAAATGCATATTCATGCATTTTCAGCACCCAGGCTGTGAGCTTCTCCTCTTCAGGGAGAAGGAATTTCAACTTGTTGATTTCGAGTGCTTTGAAATGCTCTTTTCTAAGCCAAGTGCCTGGAATGAAATTGGGCAGTCAGACTGGTAATGGTTCTAACTGATCTAACAGATCAGACAGGAAATGATGGTTTATCTTCAGTTCTTTGGGGTGTGCAGCAGGCACTGGCTTGATTTGATCAGCCACTTTCTTATACTTTTGAGCAGCAAGAGCTTGGATTGGGGGGTATGCACAAGAGAGGAGCTTGTGGAAGTATGGGTTGTATTGGTACTGCCAGTTTAGAATTTCTGAATCAATGTAACATATGGCTGGGATGTCAGGTATCAATTTGACCTTCAAATCTTGAAGTTGCCATGCTGGCTCTTTTGGCTTCAAAGTCATCATGATAAGTCTACTGTGAGGGGAGTCTCTCTGAGCATAACTCAGTTCCTTGACTCCTGAAAATCCTCTGACATGTGCAGGTTTGACAAACAGGTTGTGACAATGGCAGTCTTCAATGTAGTCAGACAGGTAAAGGTAATCTCCTGGTACCCATCTTCGAAATCTTGAGTTGAACACTTGAACAGGGTGAGGAACAGCCTTCTGAGGAGCAGTCCAACTGGTAACATGATGGCCACATGCACCTGGAACAGTCTGGAGATGTTTCCAACCATTATCCAAAGGTTTTAAACACATCCCAATGTACTACTAATGCTTCCATTTGCTGATCTCATTTGAACCTTTTCCATAGGAGTGTGAACCAAGCCCTGTGATGTCAGACTGTGTGGTGCATAACAATGAGCAAGCATCCTGAATCAAGGCAGCCAAGAGTTTGAAACCCAAGTATCTCAGAGTTCAATGGACATGTCTCCCAGTCCAATGGCCTCCAGAGCTGTGATAATACCTCTTGGGAGTGCTGGCTTTTTGTGCTCCTCCAAATGCATTATGGGTTCTGCACCTGCCCGAATTTCCTTGATAGTGAACATGGTGTTCCATATGGGTGCTGTTTGAGGTACTTTCTGAGACTGTGTCTGCTGGAACAGATGTTTCTGAACCTGAGGGGACATGGCCATTGCTTCTGTCAGAGAAACTGTTACCTGACTTTTCATTATATTCGAAATAGCTGTTTTGACCATTGTATCATTTTCCACAGGAGCTCAAAATTGCATTTGAGGGTGGATGTCCTTGTCTGTTTCCTTTTTGATTGCCTTGGGAAGGTCCTTCAAACAGGATGGTCCTTCCTCCTGTGTCATGTCCTGTTCCAGTTCCTGTAGCTCCATTTCGACCATGTGCCCTTTGCCCTTTGGAACATAAGGTTTGGTTTGGTACACTTCCTGTTTCTGAGTTGCCTCTTCAAGCCTGGTTTTGAGGGACATGATGATTGACTGTAGTTCCACTTCCTGCGCCACTGATGCTGATTCCACCATATTCACTTCTGAACCTCACAATGGTTTTGAAAAGCTAAGGAAGTTATTGGCTCCCATGAACACCTGAACAATGTGAACTGGGGCTGGTCAAGTATCTGCAGCTGGGGCCTCTTTTGTGGCAGCTGGCATGTTCCTGGCATACCATGCACAAACATGGTCCCTCAGTGCCCCAGAAGGCCATGAAGGAATTGGTACTCCATCCAGAAGAGTGATCTTATTCTGTGAGTTCCTCATGACATAACCAGTTCAAAGGCTCTCATTGAGAAGAGAACACTCCCTCATGAAGTGATCCAGTGCTCTGCACCATAGGCATCCGTTCTGACTGTTCCCATCATTGTTTGGAGCTCGATTTCTGCCTGGCCATTGATTCAAACTCTGGTACTGGTCATTTGAATGGTTTGTATTATAAGTTCCCAGGGTGTCCCACAATTGGGGAATCATGGTGAAGCTGGACAATCCTACCCCTCAGGGCTTCATCCTTAGGGACATAGACCTTGCCATGAAAGAGAATTAGGCCTTGCTCCTCACTCCACTCTTTGCCATGTAGCTGCTTGACAGGGGAGTTTCGGAGCTCTTTAATAGCTTTGACCACTTTCTCATCCAAGTCATGGCATGCCTTAATATCCTGTAGGATGTCCTTTTCATGGCCTGAGATCATCAGATGACCCCTCTCTAGTGCTCTAACCTGAAAGAACTCAGGTTTAAGAAGAACCACATTCTCATTATCCCCCTCCTCTTGTCCATGATCTGGCCTCCTGGACAAGGCATCTGG